GGTGAGGCAGATGGAGTGGGGAAAACAACTTTTCAGAGGCTACCTAAAACGGAGTCACTGGAGGGAAGTACAGAGGTGGCCAGAAGGGAAGAGTCTGTTGGGAAGGGTAGAAAAACAAGAGATACTGTACAATTCCCTTTGCAACAAACATGGAAATAACCCTCCCCCCAGACTACACACACCTGATAACCAGTTTCCTGAATAGGGAAATGTGAGGCCACTGTCTCTGGAAACCTCAAAGGGAATGAAGCCAGTCTCATACAGCAATGGTGAGATGCAGTGGGCTTGACCATCCTGAGCAACATAGCCACTGGTCTGAATCTCCTGCTTGAACCTGTTAATATTAAGAATGGTCTTCAGTGTGGCTGCTGAGAGGAGGAAAGTCATGAGCACCTCATCTGGATTTGAAGTGCCAACTGACCTGTGGGGTTCATTCCTACCTCCCTCTTTTCTCCATTTGGCAGGTTTAGCCTGATACTTTGTTTAGTGATGGCCACAGATGTGAACTTTGTGCTGTATTATTTATGACACAAGTGTGGATTGTGCTGTGCAAGGTACAAACACACATAGATACATAGATTTTTAGCTTGCAGTCTCACAAGAGGCATGATAAATGAGTAACAAACCAGCAAAGGGGAGGAGGAGAACAAGAGTGACGGTGATAAGCTCATGGGGCTCAATTGGTTACGAGTGGCTGTCACAAACAGAAATTCAAAATGTTTCTGTTATTGTAAAAGTAGTCTTTATCAAATGCTAGACTGCCTAGAACTCCCTTGACATTGTTCCAATTTCTCCTCTGCAAAAGTAACCCGTGGCTCTACTCACTGTTGCCGTCACTGTAAGCCATGTCTGCACTCCCATAGGTGATGGATGCAGGGTTCATTTCCCCATGTACAAGAGTGTCCCAGTCTGGACTCTGACTGGTTCAATAGATACAAATCTGTGCATTTAAACAAGCAGATCTGCTGGTTTCCTCCCCCTGAAAATGTTGGCAGATGTGCCGCTCAGTCCCTTCCACCCCCACGTGTAGTTCCAGAATGGGTGACATTATTGGGGGCTTGAAGCTATGAAGGAGCCACATCTAGCGCTGCAGGGAAAAGGGGGAGGTATATCTAGCACCATCTCCTCCAAGCTTTCTGGGCAGGAGGGGCTTGACCTGTATCCACTTGTAGTACCGCTATCTGCTGACACGGCCCCACAGTGTCTACTAGAGACACTGTCAGTGCACATGGGGATTGACTCAGGTGGATGACGTTCAGCAAATCACCTACACCAGTCGCTGCCGGTGTGTGGACCCTGTCTCAAATCCGGCAGCAGGTCATCCTGACCGGAATCTGCAGGTATGTTTATCTAATTCTGTTTTTGTTCTGGGAAGTTCCTCTGTACTTGTATAACAGGCTGGAATGCTAGAAGATGTGATGCGTGCAAATCCTGGAAGAGCTCCCGTGTACTGAATGGGCTGTTCTTGGGTGTATGAGAAAGGAATAACCTAGCAATAAGTTGTTCTCTTACAGTCAGGCACTCCTGGATAGACTCAAGGCACCCTTTGGAAAATATCAGCTCCCCGCTTTCACTTTATTGTCAACTACAGAAAAAATAATAGAGCAATTCATCAGTTGCAAAGAACTCAGAAAGACCACAGCAGGGCAGAATGCTTTTAACACTGTGGATTCCTATTTGAAATCTTTTGCATTTATTTTGTGAATCACACCTCACAGTGCTAACATTGCATGACACCCCTGAAAGGATCTCAAGACATCCTGGGGTGCTGTGGCACTGTCGTTAAGAATGTCTCTCGTATGGGAACGCATGGAACTTAGAGCACACACCTGTAAAATAATAGGAGATCAGGAGGTAAGGTTGCACTGCTGTCTGCAGACATCCTATTCTGTTCCCCTGTATAACTGCTGGAAGCCCTTGCTGACCTAAGAAAGGTGCCTACCATGCTGGAGTAAAAAGTTTAAATCACAACTCACCTGCATCTCACATCAGAGGAGGCATTGAAAGTAACATTCAAAATCTCAAAGTCTTTGCCTCCCATCAAGGACCCTGAGTATGGAGAGATTTGCAGACAAAATTCCCTGTAATCAGGACAGCAATCCCCCAGGGACTTGCAGGTCACCTGGCAAGAGCAGTTGCCCAGCATCTTCCCACATTGGCGGGAGCAAGAATCTTGGGCTTCTATTAAAAAATTGAAAAACAAATCTTGTTAGGAATGGAGTTGTGCAAGCATTAGTTTTATCAGTCACTGGCAAAGCCATGGCAGCATGAATCCCAAGAAGCAGTGGCAAGTGAAAGTGCCTACGAAGGACATTGGCAGCTAATTTAGTTTGCTCTGCCAATATTCAGTCCATGCCCTGTGGGCACCTAGCATAGCTCAGGGCAGACACCTTTAATGAGCCAGTGCAAATCCAGTCTCAGTTTCTCAAAAGCTGCTTAAGATAATCTTCCTGTGCTTCATTTTGCCTGTTTAAAATACAGTTATGAAAAAAAAAAACCCAAAACCTTAACTGAAGTGTGGGCAGGAGTGGAGGGAGGTAAATCAGTTCCAGCTACCCTGGGTAAAGAGCAGATGCTTCCAGTTTGCCCTACTTCTTTCATGGGGAAGAAGCATGTCTTGTGCCAACCTCCCCGTAGGGAGAGAAATTGGCTTAGCCCCTCCACGGTGGGGTGAGTGGGGACAAAAATGCCTGCTGTGCGTGTAGAGGAAACCCGTATCTCTCCAAAAGCCTTTCCCTGGAGGTCTGTCTTGATGCTGCTTTGAATCCCTGCATATAGGACAATGAGGACAGTTTGGCCTCATGAAGAAGATCTTGGTCATTGCACAGGGTGTGGGGAAGGAGACCCTAAGGAGACAGAAGAGCAATATGCATGGGGACAGTCCATAGTCACTCTCTCTTCTGAGATCTATGACTGTGATAAGCTGCTTGAGTTTCTCTGTCAAAGCACATAATATTGCTTCAGGTTATAAGTGGGGGAAAAAAATTACATATGGGTTATGACCATGTTTAAACTAAAGGACTCCGTTCACATAAAAACAGATGGTTGTTCATCTGGGTTTGCAGACATAAAAGGAAGGATAAACTCTCCCTGCTTCAAAACAGAAAAGGTGCCCAAGATTACTCACCTGTCTGCTGATGAGCAATATTGTAGAAAAGAATGAAGAAAGAGGCACAAATGCCAGTGAGTTTCATGCTTTGTTCTCGATGCTCAGGAATTCCTGATCCTCCGATTTTTGTTTTCTGCCTGGAAGGGAGAATATCTTAACTAAAAACCGCGCCTTCGGAGATACTGCTGTTACACTCTGTTCCTAGGTTTCTTGCAGAGAAGCAGGATGAAACAGCCGGCAGGTCTTCCCTTCCAGGACTCCCCTCCCCGCCGCCCCCTGTGCAAATAGAAGCAGGAATGGATAGCAACGACAAGCGCAGCAGATGCTCTCCTTGTTGTGTCTACATAGCCACCAATTTCTGTCCCAAGTAAATGTGTCCTTGTGCCTGCAATACTTGCTGTTTCAAAGGTCTCAGGTGAGGGGTCAGTGACAGTGCACACTGTTTTTATAGCTGTGCATGAAGTATGCACTTGAACTGTATTGGGGAATAGAGTGATTATCATCACAAACACCGATAAGATTAGATGCTGACGCCAGGGTTTTCTTTGCCCTGTATCGGGCCATTGAGTGGTGGGGGAATGACGGGGGCGGGGGGTTCCTGAAAGAAGTTTGGATGAAACAATGGAGTTACAACCTTTGAACATCGTTTAATCTTTCATGCGCAGCCGTTTTGTGGCAGCAGCTCTGCAGCTCTTCGCACAGCGGCTTTCATACACTTTAAAATGGGTCTGTTTGGAGGAGTGGATCTGGGAGACAGTGTTTCATTAGCCAAGGCCACATCCCCTGGGGCTGACTCCTTCCCATGAAGGACAGGGCATGGCTCTGGGCAGCCCGTCAAGCTTTGCTGACAGTATTTGCTTTTTAAAAGTCATCCAGAGCCAGTCGTGTCCCACAGGCTGGTGTTCGTGATCACGTCAGCAGCACTCCCAGCGCTCTCTGGCAGCCTGGGAGTCACTGTTGTCAGGCTCCTTCCACATGAAGTAGTGCCGTACGGCGGGGGAAACAATGAACGTGCCGCATGAAGACAACAGGTGCGTGACAGAGGAGCCTACGTTAAGAGGCGAAACCAACTCAGGTGCGTATGGTGCAGTGTGTTTACAAACCCCACTATTTTTCCCCAAGTCTGAATATGTAGGACTTGGCTATCGGAGGTAGACATGTTTTCCCCTGTGCAGAGGCAGAAACACTAGTAGGCGGGAAGCAAAGGCTGGTTGAGGTGCTGGGAGCTGACACTTTTCTTTCCTGTTTTCTAATGTAGGGCTCAGAGCTGCCTCCAGCGGGGCCTTGCCTAGTTTTGCACCCGGCGCAGGTGTAAGGAGCGGTGCTGCGCCTGTGAACACCTGCGTGCCCGGGGGGGGCTGCAAGGGGCGTGGGGG